TCCATTTGTTTTTCAAATTGCGATCGAAAATTTAATTCCCTTCTAGCTTCGGAGTCGTTTATTTTTCGAGTAAATGTTAAATATCGTTGCGATTTGTGTAATGATTACTCAAGAACACTAAATTATTATATAGTTAAATTATTATATAGGAAAAGAGAATACGATAAGCAAAGCTAAGTCAAAAGTATAGAACAACCTTTTTTCCATTCGAAATCTGTTTGACGACAAAAATTCAATTTCATTTTGTACAAATATTTCAATATTATGTACAGCTGACCCTCAGTTTACGCTGATATGTTAAATTAGAACACTATTTACGCGGTAGGTTTTACACGCGATCTTAATGTACGCGATCAGAATTCAGTAACGCCGAATAAAATATACTTTCGTTTTCTAGAATGTCATTATCATTATTTTTTTTGCCTATGCGAAATAAATGTATACTTCCAAAACTTACGCCAGCTTTTCTTTCCAATATTTTGTTTTCTCTTGTAGCGACAGTGTAAAATGAATCCACTGAAACGGATTTCCGCGTAAATCGAGAATCAGGTTTCACATTTAAAATAAACAGTACAATGAAATTATTTGTCAGAAGCAAATCTCGATCTCCCGTGAGCCTGTACTTTAAGATTATACGCAAGGGTGAACACTATGTTTCGTATTCTCGCAGGGCAGATCTGTATTCGGTATTCCGTACTCCTTTTATATTTTCTTTGTCATTCCGCGCGACGTACGCACCGGTATGCAATCGTGCATACGTATGTATTATTTCAGAGAACCGTGATTTTCAAGTATCGCGTCGAGAATGAGCGAAACCCTGCGAGATTTGTTTGTCGCCGGGTGTCGGGGGCGCCGAAAGGAATACAAAGGCGCCAACGATGGGGGCGCGACAAGATAGGGACGAATCTATCCATACGTCGAAATCCTATGATCCTTTGATCCGATTCTGATTCACTCACAGGTGATGTGTGCTTGTAGGATCGAAAAGTTGCGAGAAGTAATAGTTCGCCGGATGTCGCCGGAATTCTCATCGTTTCTAGGTTATTTTGCGAGGGTTGAAGTTGCTCTTGAAATTTTTTCACGCCGTTCGCTCGTCGTTCCTGCGAGATTCATGGGTCGTTTCTTCGAGTAGATCCATCAGAAACCGATACGGCATCGTACTCTTCTTTAGTAACGCATAAAGAACTGTTCCTTTCTGTTAGAAGTAGGGTTATGGTAGTTAGGGTATAAATGTGTAATTCATTATTTGTTTAATTCAACTTTGGATATTTTTATACATTTCTAATTTTTAATTTCTAAATTAGAAGTTTAATTTTTTAGCGAAGGAAATAATTATTGATGCCAATAAATGGCGAGCAAGAGAATATGAAATAGAAAATGATTATAAAAGGCGTGAAACGATTAATTAGATGGTGTCGTTGATTTTATTTTCTACGCAGTTGCTGTATGGTCCGAAATATAATTGATATTTCAAAGTTGCGTCGAGAAGTCCTGTTCCTTATGCAGAATTGAGAAACTTTAATGCTTTTTAACTTGTTATGCACCATTAGCATAAAATTTGCTTCATAATAGGTTATGTCAAGCTTAATTACTTGCTCCTGGGATTATTTTAAATCGGGCAGCTGGAACGGACATGAGTAATCAGCAATAGTTTGCGAAGAAAATGAGAATTAAGTTTCCTTTCATACATATTTCCGTTTGACGGTGGAAAGCTACACTTTTCGATACTGTTATCGATGTTAGAGTAATTTAATGATATCAACTATCTAATTACACAGATAAAAATCAAGTGCTGCAATTATTGTCACAACAAAATATTTATATCTTGATCATAAAAATTTTACAGCAGAGTGGAGAAGAAAAAGGGGGAATGGCATTTTTTTGCAACTAAATGTATTGTAGAAATGTAAATTTATATACACGAAAACTGTAGCCCTCGTTTATTTCAAATTGTCAGCATTTCGACAGTTTTTTACTAAAAAATACGTACCAAGTATATTCACAGTTGTCACTGTTTATGAAAAGTGACGCTTCATAATGCAAAATTTTGTGGGTGCAATTCTTTTTTTCTGTACACGTTCCACGCGTTCGAACACGACGTCTACATGCCGTGCACGTTAAACGATACACGGGAATCGAAATTGCGAACTCGCGTGTCGTGTAAAATATGGAAACAGATTTACTAATTCGATGCTCAAATTATCGCGAAATTTCGGCGTGTATTATACAGAATACGCAAGGTATTTCGCGTATTAACGTTAATTACATTTCACGTTCGACCTTTAACACGAGAATCTG